AAAAAAACTGAGAAACATTAACAATCAAAATCAAAATTTGTTTTCAGGAAAAACAATCAGCACATTCTAAACAAGTGTTGCTAAGGAATTATCATTTTTCAGATTAAGAGTAGCAAAAATGAATCTTTATTTCTTTCAAAGGCATAAAAATATGACCACCATAACAAATTAATGTTAACCACACCTTAAACATATTATAAAGAGCTTATAGGATATTTTGGCCAAAAATAGTTATTCCCAGTATTCACTATAAAATAGCATATTTGGATGCTATGTCTGATTCTTTTTAAAAGTTCAAACTTTTTTTTTTTTAAGTTTTTTGGAAGTAATATCTGAGTTTCTATATTCTTTGAGATATCACAAATGGAAAAATAGAAGATTTTATTAAAATCTTTTAAAAAAACATATCCAAAACAAAGCATTGACATAGTAACCCTATTTTCTAAACTCATCTAATTATACTAATAAACTGAGATGATTATTGATAAGAAGATGTCTATCTCTCTCTCTTTGAATGTGGTACAGCTACCAGGAATCTGCATCTTAAAAACTACTTTGGCTAATTCCATTTTCATTTCCTTAATAGCCAATTAAGATTTATTGTTTCCTGATGGATAAGTAAGGTACTCCAACCACTGATTCTGAGATATTTTAATTGATTTTTTTATTATTGAAATAAAGAAATTAAGCTCATGCTCATCACATTTTCTGAACTCAACGCTATGCATATAAATGTGTATCTTTAAATTCCAAATTTATAATATACTTTCCAATTGTGTTTACATGTATACTGTAAGCATTTGATGAACATTTTGGCAGACAATTTGTATTTATAACTAAGCTTGGGCTATTTTACTACTTCCCTGAACATGGAAGGAATTTAAAGTTTAATTCCTGACTTCAATGTTCACTTTTCTGGAGGAAGTAGATTAAAGGAATAATTTCTTAAAATTACATGCATTACAAACTTGAACTTGTTGTGCGTTTTTTAGGTCCCCTTGACTCACCTAACATTTTGAATGCTAATCAGAAGGCTGGTGGTTCAAACTCATCAGCCACTCTTGGGAAGGAAGTTGGGCAACCTACTTCCGTAGTGATACAGCTTCAGAAACCCAAAGAGGGGTCGCTATGAGTCAGATCTGACTCCATGGCAGTGAGTTTGTGTTTAGTATTGTTGTTGTTAGGTGCTGACTAGTTAGTTGGTTCTGACTCAAAGCAACCCTATAGTCAACAAAACAAAATACTGCCTGGTCATTCACCATGCTCACAATCTTCGCATGCTTAAGGCCATTGTTGCAGCCACTGTGTTAATCTATCTCATTGAGGGTCTTCTCCTTTTTGGCTGACCCTATATTTTAGCAAGCATGATATTCTTCTGCAGTGACTGATCCTTTCTGACAACATGACCAAAGTACGTGAGACCAAGTCTGGCCATTCTCGCTTCTAAGGAATATTCTGACCTGACTTCTTCCAAGACAGATGTATTCATTCTTCTGACTGTACATGGTTATTTTCAATATTTTTCACCAACACCAAAACTCAAATGTATCTTCTTTCATCTTCCTTATTTATTGTTCAGCTTGCACATGCATATGTGCCTATTGAAAATACCACGGCTTGGGTCAGGCTCACCTTAATCTTCAAATTGACATCTTTGCTCTTTAAAAGGTTTTTTTTTTCTTTTTTTTTTTTTGCAGCAGATTTTCCCATTGCAATATGCTGTTTGATTTCTTGACTGCTGCTTCCATGGATGTTGATTGTAGATCCAAGTAAAATGAAATCCCCAACTTAAATCTTTTCTTTATTGATTGTGCTATTGCTTATTGGTCCAATGGTGAGAATCTTTGTTTTCTCTATGTTAAGGTGTAAATCATGATGAAGGCTGCAGTCTTTGATATTCATCAGTAAGTGCTTCAAGTCATCTTCACTTTCAGCAAGCAAGGTTGTGTTATCAATATATTACAGGTTGTTAATGAATCTTCCTCCAATCCTGATGATACAGTCTTCATATAGTCCACCTTCTCAGATTATTTGTTCAACATACAGATTCAGTAAGTATGGTGAAGTGATACAACCCTGACTCTCTTTGGACATCAATATTCATCTTCTCTTTCTTTCCTGTCCTTTTAACGAACTTTTGCTTTCTTTATATATGCTGTTCTTGATGTCATCCCACAGCTCATCTGCTCTTTGGTCACTTGTGTTCAGGGCATCATATCTATTCTTCAGATGGTCTCTAAATTCACATAGGATATACTCAAAAGTTATATTTTGACTCACATGTCCTTGTTTTAATTTTCTTCAGCTTCAGCCTAAATTTGCATAGGAGCAATTGATGGTCTATTCCACAGTTATCACCAGGCCTTGCTCTGACTGATGATATTGAGCTTCTCCATCATCTTTTTCCATAGATATAGTCCATTTGATTCCATATGAAAAGGTCCATGTGTATAGTCTCCATTGATGTTGTTGAAAAGGGGATATTAGCAATGAATGAGTCATTGGTCACACACAATTTTATCATGTAATATCCAGTGTTATTTCTATTGTCAGGGCTATATTTTCCAACTATCAATGCTTCTTTGTTTCCAACTTTTGCATTCCATTCACCAGTAATTATCAATACATCTTGATTGCATATTTGGTAAATTTTAGAGTGCAGAAGTTGGTAAAAATCTTCAATATCTTCATCTTTGGCTTTAGTGGTCAGTGCTAAATTTGAATAATAAAGTGTTAACGGGTCTCCCTTGTAGGTGTATGGATATTATCCTATCACTGACAGCAATGTGCTTTAGGGTAAATATTGAAATGTTCTTTTTGATTATGGATGCTACACCATTCCTCTTTGTCATCCCCAGTAGAGTAGACCATACTATTGTCCAATTCAAAATGGCCAATACCAGTACACTTCAAATAACTAATGCCTAGTATACCTATCTTTATGTGTTCCATCTCATTTTTGACAACTTCCAATTTTTCTAGATTCATATTTCATACATTCCATGTTCTGATTATTAATGGATCTTTGTAACTGTCTCTTCTCATTTTGAGTCAGACCACATCAGCAAATGAAGGTCTCAAAAGCTTTACTCCATCCATGTCATTAAATTCAACTCTGCTTTGAGGAGTGCCTTCCAACCTGAGTGGTTCATCTTTATAGAGGACAATGTTTCACTGCAATTCATAAGGTTTTCAGTGGACAATTTTTTTATCAGAAGTGGACTGAGCCATGTACTTTTTCCTAGTCTGTCTTAGTCTGGAAGCCCTGCTGAAACCTGTCCACCCTGGTGATCTTTGCTGGTTGTTTTTTTTTTTTTTTTTTTTTTTTTTTAATACCCATAGCATAGCTTCTAGAATCACAGCAGTATGCAAGCCACCAAGACGTCACATGTATTTTATAGTTTACTGTTCTGTTTTTTGGTTTTTTTTTTTACTTTCTTTCCTTCTTATAATAGGTGAATTACTTACTTTTTATAATAAAAAAGATATCCTTTGTGGTGATCTACAGATATTTGGATTACGTGAGCATTCTGTGGCGTACTGGTATGTTTCTTTTTTCAAAAGAGGGAAACAATTAGGTTTCAACAGACTTATTTAAAGAAATGTTGGATAAGATGGTAGAATAGTCAGACAAGCTACACAGACCTTCCTCCACAAAGAAATGAGAAACCAATTGACACAGATGGAGAAGATAATCCTGGAGCCCTGAGCTTTGAATGGAAGGATAAAAAAGTGGGTTAAACACCAACTAGTAGATGAACTAGAAGGAGTCAGCAGCAGGGATCCAGGTAAGGGTGGTTGGAGGGGTCCAACAGCTAAGGGAGACAAACTTGTCTGTCGGTTTGTCCTACTGTGATGACATGTGGCTGTGAGTCTTGAGGCTGTGCCACTGGTGTTTCAAACCAGTGGGGTGCACATGGTGCACAAGTATCAGCCTGGCTTGCAGACTGAGACAGACTAGGAAGAAGGAGAAGGCCATCCACTTCTCAAAGAATTGGCCAGGGACAACCTTATGAATAGCAGAGAAACACTGTCTGATACATTACTGTGCAACTTTATGAATAGTCTGGAAACATAGTCCAATATAGAGGAGAAAGATGACTCACTTAGCTTAGAAAGTTTTCTAAAGTAGGACTGGGCAAGAGCTGCATTATCAGAGTAAAATTAGCCTTACTCATATGGATAAGGTAAAGCTTTTGTGACCTCCCTTTGCAGACGTGGAACCACTCAAATTGAGGAGAAACAGCAGCAAACATGCATTAATAATCAGAACATGGAATGTACGAAGTATGAATCTAAGAAAATTGAAAGTTGTCAAAAATGAAATGGAATGCATAAAGATTGATATCCTAGGCATTAGTGAGCTGAAATGGACTGATTTTGGCATTTTGAATCAGATCTACTATATGATCTACTATGCCAAAAATGATAGTTTAAAGAGGAATGATGTGACATTC